TGAACACAAATTCCCTTTATTCTTAAAAGACGACATAGTTCGTTTATAGATAACATAGAGTTAATGTTCGTTATTGACATAACAAAATGATTCCAAAGTCATACCGACGAATGTAAATCTTTCAACATTCACATTGATTTCCAGCTGACGTAACTGTTTGTGTAATCACTTACAAGATAAGACGTTAGTAACAACCGTACTATTACTCACAGTGGTTGGTCTCTGATTGCGGTGGAACGATGTCCTCATCTTGACCTACAAACACAATGCACATAACAGATTATGAGAATAAAACCAATCTCTTTTTATTCCTCACTCAATATCTATGGCGGTTCTAAACTCATTATTCCTCCATAGGTTATCATCCATGCCTCATAAGATAGGAGGAATCGATAAGAGAAAGGTTCAGACGAAGAAACGGTACAATTCGGTAAATAGAAAGTGAACAGTCGTCACTAATTTGGGCATAACTATGTATTTAAAATTTGGGAGTGAGACCACCACCATTGGAAACTAGACTTCCGGGGCTTGATTTTAGGCTCAAGAATCACTCAAAACGGAGTCCGGATGCAAAAGATATGCTTGTTCAAAGTTACCTAGTGTATGCTGAAACAGGGATGGCCGCTCGTGCGCCCACTTTGGCCGCTCGTGCGGCCCAATTCCGCTCGAGCGGAAGAACCCGGCCGCTTAAGCGCCCAAAAACAAAATGAAAACCTATTTTTTCCCCTCTTCTCCGCACGCGCGGCCTGGGTCCTGTTTGACAGTCTGAAATTCACCCAAAAATTCAACCAAAAGCCTCTCTTGTTCACATAAGGCAAGGCTTAAAATACATCCATAACTTGCTACATTTTGCTTAGAAATCATGTGAATAGGAATCACAATACATATAATCAACCTAATATAATTTAGATCATTACTCTTAAGTTCATAACACAATACATAGGCATAATTTCATGGGTTGGCATGGAAACTAAAGATTGAAGTGTCAATCCCACACAACACTTAAATTAGATCTCAAAGCAACCAATTGATGAGAATAACTTTGTAATCAAACATGAATCGCACTCAATTCTCAATTACGAACCCTAATTGTAAAAATATGAAACTAACAAACCCTTCCTCACAAATGGAAAGGAGAATTTCAAACATGATCAAGAGAGAGCTTATGTAGAGTAAATTTAACATACTTGAGTTCCAATTCTATAACCCTCACAAGGTTTCTTAACCTTCTTCTTGAAGAACTTCCTTTCAAGTCCTTTTCTTCCCTAATCTCTCTCTCTCACGAGATTTTCTTGAAATGGGTATAAGTCAATGTTCAAGAAGCATAGACACTTATATAAAATGTGAATAAGGACAAAATCCAATCGTTTAATCATCCCGAAATTGAAATTTCGTAAACATGCTTAATATTACTTAAAATTATACTGATCACATATATATAATCAATTTCAGATAATTAAGCCTTTAAGGCTTCCAATTTCTGATTCAGACATTCTAAATGTAACAGATACTTTTCTTGTTAAACAGATATACATTCATAAACATTGGATTCACTTAATTAACTTAATTTAACATGGAAGTTCACAATAAGCATTTAAATGCGCAGGACAAGGGACTGAAAATATATCAGAAAACATGTACGAGGGTCGGGATATTACACTCTTCTCCCCTTAAAGAAGTTTGGTCCCTCAAACTTGTTTTACCATGTAACAGATTAGAAAGCTCAGTCTCACCCTATTGTCTAATTCTATTATAGATGATCCGTTAATTCTTCAGTTCGAACCTTTCACAAGTTAATCCGATGTTTATCACAGTTATTCAAAAGTTCTTAATATAACAAACATCTCATAGCTTTAGCCAACTAGTCGTTTTAATGTCTATTTGAGGCACATTGAAACAAAAATAACAACCCAGTATATTTATTCCATAGGATTATGTGTTGCTTAATATAAGACCACAAGAGTTCATGGCAGGACATGCAAAGCATAAAATCCCCAGTAGACAGAGTTTAGAATCACCATATTTCCCTGTCAATAAGTTTTATAGCAACAATTTTCAAAGATCGAAACATACAATTCTCAGATACAGAAACATAATAGATAGCTTCCCCGTAAGTATACAAGTCATAACTTCCCCCAACATACGTTTATTTCAATCACAATAAAAATGTCCTCTGCTAAGTTTCTAATTAGATCGATCCAGCATTAATAGTTCATGCGCAATTCTCATGAGAAAGTACATGTTCAAACTTGCCCAGTTCGGTAAGTCCTTGGGTAACTCATGTATTACAATTCACTCAAAAGTAAATCATATATTTTCAGAAGAAATCCATTATTTAGTTAACTTCAAATCATATTATGCATGATGAGATCGGATATTAGAGCCTACCAACAAGGTATACTTCATTCTAACAGTCACAAATAAGCCGCTTAAGTTCCTAGCCACTAGCTTTATAACTTGTTCCTAGTATTCCCTTATTTCCAAAGGCATTTCAAAGTCT